TTGAAGAAAAACACATTAAAACACAAAACGCATTTACCTTTTTCCAAGAAGGGAAGGGCATGTACTTTTTAATCGCAACTCCACAAGTGGTGCGTCCCTTTAAGTGCCCAATCGAAAAGTCCGTGTAGAATAATCCAATATTGCTTTTCCTAATGCAACTATCATTTTGATTGGACAGCGCAGCCGTCGTGCAGTACTTTATTTCTTTTTATATTTAATTACATGGTACTTGGTACATTTCAATTCCTTCTGGTTATGAAACTAGTCGCAGGTTCCGGTTCCTCAAAAGTGCACTTGTAAGCACGGAAGCTTGGAAGTCTGAAAAATACCTAGACTACAACAGATAATGGGGAAAAAAGCTCATTTTGAGGAAAACCTTGGATGGTTTTCCATGGGAAAAACCATAGATTCAGGCTCGTAGAACACTTAATAAAACTTGATCCATATGTCAGCAATGGGGTTCATCGTCATCATCTAGGGGTCGCAACCGAGATCCTATTCACAATGCCATGTCAGGTGTCGTTATCCCTCATTATGTGTGGGGTTCAAACTGGAGCCAAATGTACAACTGTTTTCCCAATCAGTACTTGCACCAGGGTTCGTTTTTGTTCACTATAGCCAGCCCGAGCCGGGCTACTGAAACAGACTCTTAACTAAGCCCGCGGGCATTTTCACTAGCCCGCATTTTCTTTTAGCTCAATACAAAATGGCGTATTTTCAGGCTCAATTCTGAGGCAGTTTTGTCAGTGTTTTAAATAAACAGATCTAATAATTTAATCTTTTAAAACAGTTGAGAAAACAAGACACAACCTGATGAGGTTTTATTTCTGAATTTAATGATTTATTTCTTCCTGTCCGTTCATCTTTGCCGTATCCCAATAATTTTTTTGACTTGCCAGCCAGGATACTTAAGGAATAGTTTGACTACCGGTAGCTGCCGCTGTTTTGACTAGCTTTTGGCTAGCGCCTCGGGCTACCGCTAATTTCGAACCCTGCTTGCACATGCATCTGTCTTTCATGATTTTCACTTTCGTGAAGGTCACTGATAGGATTTTCTCTGCAGTACTAGAATTGTGGTACAATGCTAAAGAGCTGTAGATTTGGAGCTGTAGCCTTCCACGATCAAGTGAAGAGTTTGTTTCCGAAAAGCGATTAACGCCATTTTGTTATCTGTTACAATCCCGCTCTCTTCTGGCTGCTCAAACTCAGTTTTGACAGCTGTTATGTTGTTGAAGAATTCAATCAAGCAAAACATGTAGTTTAGAAACAGTTGTTATACTGTTCATGTTCCATAAGCTTTATAACTTTTTTTAACAAAAATTTCAAATGGATTCAAATTCAAATGGACTTCAAATTTTTGACATGACTGGTCCGGCTGGTGTGCCCCTTTAATCACCCAATCAAAGACTCTTGGAACCTTAAACCCAAGTTTGTGTCGCTGTCATCAGTAATTTATCGAGTGGTAAATCGAAACCCAGGCTGAGACAGATTTCAAACAGTGGCAGGACGGTACTTAAGAGTCCGTCACTGTTCATTTACATCGTAGAGATTTAAGGATTTGACTTTTTATCAATACTGTTAGTCCTTAGTTTGTGTTGATTTAAGGACTCAACGCGCTGATCTGTTAACTTGTGGAATGCAAGCTCAGCAGATCTGTTAGTTGATTCTGCTATTCATCATGCATGATGGAGATTTAAGGATTTGACTTTTTATCAATACTGTTAGTCCTTAGTTTGTGTTGATTTAAGGACTCAACGCGCTGATCTGTTAACTTGTGGAATGCAGATTCAGCAGATCTGTTAGTTGATTCTGCTGTTCATCGTGCATGATGAAGATTTAAGGATTTGACTTTTTATCAATACTGTTATTTTTTGTGTTGATGGAAGGACTCAACGCGCTGATCTGTTAACTTGTGGAATGCAAGTTCAGCGGATCTGTTAGTTGATTCTGCTATTCATCGTGCATGATGGAGATTTAAGAATTTGACTTTTTATCAATACTGTTTAGTCCTTAGTTTGTGTTGATTTAAGGACTCAACGCGCTGATCTGTTAACTTGTGGAATGCAGATTCAGCAGATCTGTTAGTTGATTCTGCTATTCATCGTGCGTGATGGAGATTTAAGGTTTTTGACTTTTTATCAATACTGTTATTTTTTGTGTTGATGGAAGGACTCAACGCGCTGATCTGTTAACTTGTGGAATGCAAGTTCAGCAGATCTGTTAGTTGATTCTGCTATTCATAGTGCATGATGGAGATTTAAGGATTTGACTTTTTATCAATAATGTTATTTTTTGTGTTGATGGAAGGACTCAACGTGCTGATCTGTTAACTTGTGGAATGCAGATTCAGCAGATCTGTTAGTTGATTCTGCTGTTCATCGTGCATGATGGAGATTTAAGGATTTGACTTTTTATCAATACTGTTATTTTTTGTGTTGATTGAAGGACTCAACGCGCTGATCTGTTCATTTTGTGGAATACAAATTCAACGGATCTTCTACTTCTTGTTAGCGACGTTACTAGAGTTAAACTTCTCGGGGGCACCTGGGGTGCAACATTTTTTCAAGGGGGCACTGAAGGCAAAGGTTTTATTAATTTTTTTCAGTTCAAGATTTCAAATGGAGGGGGGGGGGGCATGGACCCTCCGCTGGGGGGGGGGGGGAGGGGAGACATGCTGTTGCGTCACTGCTGCTACAATGTAGTTTGATTTTGCCATTTACAGCACTGTTGTTCTGCCAGTATCAGCAAAAATTATCTCTCACAGCCAAACTTGATTTTGATCGGCTAGAATTTTTTTAGACATTATCAGGTTTATTTCTCATGTTTATTGGGATTCAAATGTAGCACACAAGTTTGTTGAATCCTAAATCAGCAGAACTATAGTCCAATACCCATGGATGATTTCTCACACTTGTTGAGAGGATTTTTGAAGAGGAATCGTTGAAGTTCTTTTCTTTTTGGTTGATTAAATTATCTAGTTCACTGATCTTCAAATTTGTAGAGTATGGATTCTGCATTGACTTTCCAAGTATACAAGTATGCGGCTATAATGCGTGTACATGTACACATAAAGGGGGGGGGGGTTGGAGGGGAGGGGATAGTTTTGAGAGGTTATATTTTTGTCTTCTGATTTCAGTTTAGAATGGCCTGATTTTGGAAATATTTATCTAAAATACGCTTTCAGTTACAATTCACAAATATTTGCATGCATTACAGTGACCGGCGTACATCTGTATGCTACGTGCGTCGTTTTAAACCCCGAGCATTTGTTCTGACATTTACAAATGTAGAGAAATGCTCCAGTGAGTTTAATTAATGCAGAATACATCAAAACCCATGCTGGTATCATAATGCCAAGGCTATATACCGTACATCCACTCTGTTCTCGTAATATTAATTTACCCATCAAGTGCCTAAACCAACAAAATAAACAAGATTTTTTTTCTTCAAAATATTTATATTATACTTTTGCTGGTTGATTTTCATCCCATATATTTGTACACATTGCGAAGTCTATATTTACAAAAAAAATGTAAGGACACCTAAGCATTGAGTACATAGTAATTAACAGTCCTGCCCAAATTATATACAATGTATACAATTGTATACAATTGTATACAGTGTACATGTACACACTATGCAGGCAAGCAGCTTTCCATTGGATCAGCAGGTGACCTCATTTGTTTTCTTTAAATGCAGTTATAAATATTTAAAAACACCATAGAAAGTTTTATATAATTCATGTGAATTAATAATCTCTCATTGTTAGTGACTTACAGGTTGCATGAATATGTATTGAGTACAGTTGTGTACATGTACACTGGAAGAAATTCAGTTACAAGAATTGTTTTACATGTAGATGATGGTCTATGAATGTCGTTCATAACTTGGAAAAAATACCTGATATGATTTTGTGCACGTTTTATCTGAATTGTTCACTCGTTCTATGGGCTTCTATCATGCTTTGCATTCATAAGTCAGGGCCTAATTTTATAAAGTTGCTATGCAAAGACATTTGCTTAGTGCAAAAATCATTTGCAAGTTCATAAATAAATGCAGGATACCAGCCAAAATGCCATGCAGTTCATATATGGCTGTTTGCTGGTTCAGGGTTGTTTTGCTTATCATATTAGTTTTTTTCGTATGGGACTTATTTCGATTTAGCAACTTCCCAAATCAGACACGGGTACATGTACATGTATGAAGTGGTGCATGCGTGGTATCAGAAACCTCACTTTTCGAGTCTTGTTGGTTCAACTAATTATATTGATCAGTTGGCATGTAAAGGTTCAATTACCTGAGAGTGCTTTGGCCTGAAAATAATTACTCCGAGAGGTTGCAGGTCTCTGGTTTTGTAATATTTTGGTTTTGTAATATTTTTGTGGCATGGGTGGCTTGTGCGCAAAGCGTTCGTCTCTCACCACTGTGGCCCTGGTTCGAATCCCATCTGCGGGCCATACATGCCACATGTGAGTAGAGTTGTGCGTTGGTTCTCTCCTGTGCCACGAGGGTTTTTCTCCGGGCCCTCCGGTTTTCCTCCCTCAGGAAAAATCAAAACTGTCGATCTCAGGCTGTGCTCTGTGCATTCTGCATTCTGCAATTTAGCATCTCAGCTGTGAGTAAGGATCATTGGTGACTGCTCTATGTTCCGACATCCCTATGTTCCGACAACCAGAACATAAGATTGTGTTACTCCTGTTTAGGGTTAGGGTTAGGAGTAGGAATAGGAATATATGCAGTCGGAACAGGGGTGTCGGAACATAGGGGTATTGGAACATAGAGGTGTAACCAGGATGATTCGCCTCCCAAATTATTATATTTCCTTTATTTTTAGTTGGAGAACAAATTCCTAAATTGAGCAATATTCATTTACTAAAATACTTTTTTTTCTATTCATGTGAATAATTACTTGATTCCTGACTGAATTTTGAGCCCTTCCCAAGGGGTATATGCCATGTCAAGTCTCGTGTTTTATACAAAATGTTCTTATTTTTTTGCAGGGACTTTAGCTGAACAATTAGGCTTCGATATCCAAGACGTCGAAAATAGGTAAGTAGCTCATTTTTCTGTTCTTTCTTTGTTTTTTTAATTTGTCATAAAAAGGGAGTTGAGTTTCAAAATTTTGTGTGCATTATGTGTGGGTGTTGGTTGGCTCTGTGTTTTGTTTTCCTACTTTTTTTGTCTTCCTTTTTTCTTCGGGGTGGGGGGGGGGGGTCTTAAGGGGGGTCGTGCTTCATTTTGGTTGTCTTCAATTTGTGTATGTGGCTGAAGTGCCCAATAATTACATTGCCAAAAAGCCCTGGGCATGCTATGTGCAGTACTCGTAAAACGGCCAACACATGTCCCAGGACACATGTTCTTAGACGACCCACGAATATCTTCTGCCAGTCCTGCCACAGGGGCGATTTCATTATTTGATTGTTTTTCCCGTTATAAGCCAAGCTGTTTCGGTCGTCGGAAACAGCTCCGAGATTTCTCCCGTTAATAGTTTCCAATCTTTTCCCGTCAGTGTCTAATGGCCTAAAGCAGACACGAATTCATTAATTAATCAATGTTATCGAGACAGTTTTTTCAACTGTGCAAATTACTTTTTGCTAACCCTTTTTTGACCCTGGCATCAGATACTTGTATAAGCACGTATTTGCAGCTGCAGTGCTCTGTGTTGTATCTTATGTATTGATATTTTGGTTAAGTGCGCTTAAATTTTCCGTCCAATGAAATGCCATTGAATAACAGTTTGTTGGAGTTGTAGTTAAACATTTTCTGGTCCATGAAGTAAAGTCAGATTTTGTTTTTCTTTGGTGGTCAGCTTATTTTTTTTTCCTTCTATTTTCTGTCATATAATAGTCTGACAGGTGAGCTACATGTACATGTTCTAATAAAGTTCTTGTTCAACCGCCTCCCTTCCCCTAGTCTATGGAATAGCCGCTTGCAAACGGCAATCATCTATGATATGCTACAGATTATACAAAACAACGCTTGACCTCTAGATTCTGACTATTCAGCGGGCGCCTTCAGTCTTGTTTTCGGTCACCCAATATTGTATGACCAAAAAACATGGAACTATTGACCAATCAACAGCTTTGGCCGAATTTCTGCTCTAAATGATGCCACCACTTCTAAAGGTTGTTTTGATAGGCTGGCACGTGGGGTAGCATAAAATGTGCATGTATATCAGATGCTATAGTGTGTCTCTGTATGCGTAACGCCTGATCCTCAGGCTACCCTCCTCCAAGAAAATTCCACGAATTTCAACAAGAATTTTGAAAAATGGAGGGAAACCCACCCCCCCCCCCCTTCCGCCACCCTCCCCTCCCCCCCCCCCCCCCCCAAAAAAACCCAGCTCTTCAATAAAATCACTTCCTCAGCAACTGATCAGTTTAAAAAAAAAAAAAGGAGTTTTGGTTCCCCGCTAAGTTATAGTCATAGCTTCGTCCAGTTCTGTCTTACTGTACATTGCTACAAAATTGACCTACTGTTTCAATGCATGATTGAAGACATAAGTCCTGAAAAAAAACAGGAATTATTAATTAAAATAAAGTGCTCCAAGCAGATTATCTGAATCGTGTGCAAGCTTTAAATCTAAATTTGAAAGACTTCTCTTGTATTTTTAGCATTATCTCCTCTCATCAATCATTCTTTTAGGTCTGATCCGAAATTTGCGATTGCCAAAAGTCGTATTTCTGAGAGGCTCTGAGTATACAGTAATTCCTGTTGAATAATGAATGCTTTCGTTTCTAGACATTCCTTGAAAATATGTTTCGCTGAAAGTAGCAGTGTATAATTTGGATCAAGAATTTTATAATTTGTATTAATTTTTGAGTAACATCAACGAAGGATATAAATATTTGAAGGAATTTAAGACTGTACATATGTACTAAGGTCTAAGAAGAAAATGACCTGTCTGTGAAATACTTAACTTTTACTTTTTTCAGTTTGCAAAAAACCTCCAACTTAAAGGTCCACTGCAATATTTTTTTTTCAATGCAGTCATTGAAAATGCATCTATGTGTCCCATTTAACCTTATTTTCAATTTTCGTTTTGCCATTTTCAAGGGTATTTTGGTGCCATTTTGGTTTTTATACTTAAATGCAAATTTCCATTTTCATGCAGAAATTAACCTCAGTGTTACAACTATTTCAGCACCAAAAGTTGCCAGAATTTTGGGTATTTTGCCGTCGTAAATTTTCTTTTCTTTGGTGATTCATGGTTGTGTCAGTGTATGGCAGTAAGCCAGTGAGCAAACTTTTCTCACAAGTGTTTTCATTTAGCACATTTTGGGGTTCACAATTTGAACAGAAAACCCCTAAACTGAACAGTGTCTTCCTGAAATGATATTGTTACCCTTAGTTGTCAGAAAAAGCATGGATAATGTTTAAAAGAAGTGTACTTTTCAATAAAAAATAACCAGAAAGGGATGTCAGATACTTTTCATATATTTAAGAGGAGTAGAAAATTAAGTTGGACAAAATGTGTTCCTAAGAAAATTCATCTCATGGGGCCTTTAAATAAATGTCTGACACTGACCAAAATTCAAGCGCAGTATAAACATTGTCGGAATTCTAGTAAATTGTCCAAGGGTATCTCTCTAATAAGTGCGAAAATTCACTCTACTGGAACTAGGGATTCATTCAATCGAGTAGATTGAGTTTCCATTCAAGATTCCACTGGATTGATCCTTTTCAGGGTGTTTCAATCTAATTTTTCGAAGTGATTTCCACTCTAAATCGCCTGGTCCCTGGTTGAACTCTTTGGATTTTAGAGAAGTATGTCACTGTCTCGTTCAAGAATCCTGCAAGTTATCTTGAGATGTGCGGGTTATATCTTCAAGTATTTAACACCTGATAAACTGAACTGTATTGCCATCAAGTATGCATGCACGCCAAGCCACTAATCTCGTTTTCCGGTAACCCAATTGCTCTCCGGCATGCCGGAGAAAAAAAAAGTCACACGATAACTTAATTTCTTGGCAATGTATTATCTATTATTCATGGAAATTCAGTGGGCGAAGTTCGAATTAAAGGGAGCAGTATATGCTTTCAAGGCTGCATGGAAACTATAAACTGATTTATGTGTCGTTAAACACGCTGAAGACGTGGGTGGTATATGGTTCATTTGGATTTTTTTATTTAGGCCAAAAAAAAAAATATATAGTTCTGCTTCCGATTTCATGGCATTCTAAAATAGGGTAGGAACATGTCGGTAGGGAGTTTTTGTTTTGCCAAATTTTTTGTGTGTACAATCTTATGAAGGCGTCTGCATAAGTCAAGGGTAAAACTTAGGAATTGATGTTTTTGGGTGGTTTTTTTTCTCATTATTCCCATAAAAAAAAATAGGGTAGGGGCTGTCAGAATAGGGTAGGTAGGGAAACCGGAAGCAGAACTTTTTTTTTTGGCCTTATTGTTTTTTGGTGTGTTTTTATTGGTTAAATTTATTTCTTGATTGTATTGGTTGATTTTATTTAATCTTATCCATTCATGGATGATTTTTCTTAATTATTTGTTTGTATTGTGTGTGTTCATTTGGCAGTTATCATTAAGTTTCCCCAACTTGTCTACATTTATTTGATGTTTGTTCATTTAATGTCTTTTAAAATTTGACTTTTCCCTTTATTTGGGTATTTGTCCTGTGTGCATGTTAAGATTGGCTTTGGTTACTACTTTGTTTATTTATGTCATGAGTGTGGTAAAATTGCATTTACAGTATCACATATAATAACGAGCTTATTGCCAGATAATTAGAGACATAGAGCCCAGTCAGATACTTTAAAATTTCCTCAATAAATTCGTCTAAATCCCGATTTTATTCCCAAGTCCTGACGGATGGTTGTTAATTTTCCCAGGCTGCTTCTGCAGAACGCTCTGTCCAAACCTGCTACATGTAGGCCTACATTTACATACATAAGCGGCCTGTCAGGGCAACTGTCGGGGAGAATTGATTTTTTTCGGGGCCCGGGGACGATAATTAAGCCATCGGCGGCATTTAAGACAGCGGTTTAGCAAATAATATCGAGCAGCTTGTCTGCTGGGGGTGATCGAGTCCCGAGCTTCTGCCGAGACCTTGATTTGCAGTCGGTTGCATGCAGCAGGATGTTTGCTGGTTTTATACGTGCTTACGATGAGGATTGGCCTGTTTGTGGGTGCTGGACGAAGCCTTGAACGAATCGAATCATATTGAATTGTGACCTAGATCTTTCATTTTAGGTTTTATTTTTGGCAAGATGCCACGTTACCAAGGATACGTGGATGTTGCAGGCTCTTTTTTTTATAATCTCACAATCAGAAAAGAATTCCAAATTACTCTAAGTTACTCTAGATTATAGATTCTGCCATTGTTGTGAAATTTACAACATGAATTTTTGATAGGACTCGGGAGGGGACATCAGCAATGACATCACAGAGAGAAAGGAATTTTATTTTTTAATGGGTTTGATTGAGTGCCAGGATTAATTTTGTCTCTCCTCATCAGTCTTGATAAATTACAAACTTAAAAATATATTTGGTCCGATCATATGACGTCAGAGTACCATGTGATTATGCATTTCCCATGATTGGCCACCATTGCAGTAGGCAAGCATTTGGTTAGCAACCACGTCATGCATTGTAAATTAGACTAAAAGCCGCGAATTCTGTAGGCCTAAGTTGCCTTCCAAAACCTTCAAGATTTTACGATAATTCAGCACATCGGGGCACCATATGTAGGATCTTAACGTCCTATTTTTTCATTGATTTTGTGTCCTGACTGCATGTATGGGCCCCTCCAATCAAGAACAATAAATGGGTATTTGGAAAGAAAAGAAAGCATTACAATTTACAACATAGTGAAACTATTGCGATAAGATAAGTCTGTCCCGAGCCAATGTGGCTCATCAGGCCGGCCTTTATCTCCGGTTTCAGTAGCATGAAATGACTGAGAATATTTCTACTCCCCCTGGATGGGATGCTAGTCCATCGCAGGTTACTCCCCAGCTAATGCCAGTACCCATTTATACTCCTGGGTGGAGAGGGGCAAGTGGGGGTGAAGTGCCTTGCCCAAGGACACAACACAT